TAAATAAATAAATAAATAAATACAAAAGGCCTTATGAAACACAAAAAAGTAACTTGCAGTTTGGGCATTAACCAGAGCCCAATCAGCTTACATTCAAGCTCCTTTGTCAATGAAGGCGAAGTGGAGACGTTTTGTTTAGAGTTTAAGGCAGAACCATTCACTAGAGAGACCGGTAGTAAACCCTCCCACTTCAGTGTGGACATGCACTGTGAGGAAACGTGTCCACACTGATTTTTAAAAAAGCCAAAGACTTTTTTTTTAAAAAAAAACAACAACATTTTTTATCTTTTCCAGCTGGGAAGTTAAGATTTAATAATTCCCCACAGCAGGAACAAGCTTGGCTCAGAAATGTTTCCGAGCGGATACCATCCAGAAACCACCCTTTGGATAAAAGTAGTTGAACATCATTCCAACAAGACAGCCATTGAACCCCGCAAGAGAGGATGGCTGCAAGCTGGACATCAGGATAACAAAAAGATCTGGTCTGCAGGACAAAATCATCCAAGGGCATGTAGATCACCTTTTACCAAAAGCAGTCACTTTCATTTTCAAAAAGTTACATTTTTCTGGAGAACTTAGAGAAACTCTAGAGCACTTAGCCAAGGAGTTCCTTAAGGCAGTGGTCCCCAACCTTGGGCCTCCAGATGTTCTTGGACTTCAACTCCCAGAAATCCTGGCCAGCAGAGGTGGTGGTGAAGGCTTCTGGGAGATGTAGTCCAAGAACATCTGGAGGCCCAAGGTTGGGGACCACTGCCTTAAAAGAGTTGCTTGCATGTCAGTGTCACAGTAAGAGTTTATTTCACCTCCCTCAGTTGTTAGATTAGCTTGCTTTGTTTTGTGATTGATCTTTAGGCCTTAAGCTTAGAAGTCATGTCTCAGATGTGAAAGACTTCCTCAGTCAGTTGTCTTGGTTCTTGTTGCCCTCTGTTTCTGCTTGCAGAGCGGACAACTGAGAAATAAGACAGAAGCATGAGCAAGCACAAGGGTAACTTCCGGTCTGCGGAACTAGAAAGAATAAACATTTTAAGGGAGAAAATAAGATCTGAGTAGAGGAATATTCTAGCCCAGGAGAATCTCAGGAAGCTGGAGCATGTTCAGTATAAAAGTAGAAAGAATCCTGTGTATTTCAGAAGTGGCATAGCAGAGCTAATTTATTCAACTTTACCGAAAAGTTCCTGCTGTACTGTGTCGCTTGTACTCACCTATAATGCTATTTGCACACTGATTCACCAGTATGAAGAACAGGACCCCCGAGCAGCTGTGGAAGACTGTCTGAGTTGGTGATGCAATTGAAACATCCGAAAGTCCCATGGCGCCTTAAAATAAGCCCATCGGGTTGAGGCAGAGGCAGGAGACGTGGCCCCGAGTTTACTTGAGCATCTGGAGATTCTGTGTTCCTACTGCCTCGTAGCCTGGGTTCAGCCAACTAAGCGAAAAGAGGAAGTCACAAAGAGAAGTGGAGGCTGGCTAGCTGTCTGGCTTCAGACATCATGAAACCACTGTCAACTGCGTTAACTTTTCCAGGGTAGGAAAAATCACTCTTGTGGAAGGTGTCCCTTGCAAATGAGGAATATATATATTTTATTTAGCATGCCATGGAGTGTTGCTTCCTGAGTCTTTTGACCACAGGTAAAGGTAAAGTTTCCCCTTGACATTTCGTTCAGTCGTGTCTGACTCTAGGGCACAGTGCTCATCCCCATTTCCAAGCCATAGAGCCAGCGTTTGTCCATAGACTGTTTCTGTGGTCACGTGGCCAGGGCAACTAGACACGGAATGCTGTGACCTTCCCACCGTGGTGGTTCCTATTTATCTACCCGCATTTTTACATGCTTTCGAACTGCTAGGTTGGCGGGAGCTGGGACAAGTGACGGGAGATCACTCCATCACGTGGATTCAATCTTACAACGGCTGGTCTTCTGACCTTGCATCACAGCAGGCACCTGACAAAAGGGAGACCTGAATCACATTCACAATCCTTATCCGGGTGATTCCTCCATTTTGGCCCAGTAAAAAGGCACAAAAAAGTGTGCAAGCTTTAGAGATCACCGATACTCCTTTTCAGTCCAGATGTTACAAAAGTAAAGGGGAATTAAGCTTGTGCATGGTCATGCTGAACTATGATGGAAGACTGAGGCTATTCAGATGATCGAGAGGGATTCCTCACTGGATGCCACAGTCTTAGGTTTTGCCCAGGATCGTTTATAGACCTTCTGGGAACTGCAAAGTTAAGAAGCATTTGATGGTCTCCCTTAGTACATGTCCAAGCAGATGTTTCTCTGTGCAGTGTTGTCTCACTAGAGGCGGGAGAGAGAGGAGAGAGCATCGGTGTTTCAGCCTGCCGTGTGACTTTGACCAGCACAGGGAGTGGAGCACCAGCACAGCACTCCATGAACTTTCTTTTTGCAGGAATCCTGGCAGAAGTGGCAAGGGGGAGGGTAGGAGCCCTCAGGGGGAGGGTAGGAGCCAGGGAAACCTCCCATGTGTCGTGTGTGCTCCTGGTAAGACAATATATTCTAAACAAACACACAAACACACACACAAACATGAGATGTGGACTTAACAGAAATGGTTGTGACCACTGTAGCAGCGGAGAAGATTTTAACATCTGTGCAGCTGGACAAAAAAAAATGCACTTTTTAAAAATCTTCTTTTGAGTGACCAGGGATGTTGGCAAATCCTTGGGTTTAAGTCTTTGGTTCCAAATCCACGTCTTTGGTACCAAGTCCTGAGTCCCTATTAAAAACAAGGCTTTTCTCCAGGAAAAAAAAGAGGAAGTGGGTGGGTTCAGAGTCATGAGTTGAGTCCGAATCATTGCGGGGGTGGGTGGGGGAGCCCCGAGTTGAGTCACCAGTTCAACTTAAGTCTGATCTGACAGCCAGTCCAATGACTCAAGTCCCCATCGCTGTGAGTTGCTATATTAACTGGTTCAGCAGATTCTGGGCCCATTTTTCTTTGTCTCCCTTGTGCCGGTTCCGTAGTCACTTGCCCCACAAGCCGTTCCTTCCCCTAACTACAGCTCGTTCCATGTTTATGGCAACACATAAGCCCACCTTGTGAACTCATGCTTTGGCCCCATATCTCAGAAAAGGAGACACTGCTGGCTTGACACTATGCAGTGTAACATCAGGGCCAAGGAATAGTACATTGAGGACTCCAGCTCGCAGAACCCCCTGAGCTGGCTGGGGGTTTCTGTTGGGAGTTTTTACAATGCTGCATGCAGCCTGCCTTTTGTTTGACTGGAAGGGACCTTTCTGGGCTTGGGTGACTGGCAATCTATCCCAGGGTAAGCCATCATTCCTTCCTTGCCTCTGAAGTCAAAGAGAGTCCTGCCTCTCGGTTGATATTGCTTCCTTCCCCTCTCTTTAGTCTGTTGCTGAAGGCAGCCGTCTTTGTCAGTTTGACGTCTGATCTGTTCACAACAGCAAGTCACGAAATGTTTCTATTCTTTCTATTGCTGGTGCTTCAGAGCAAGTTATTGAGACTGTAAGTGCCAGTTAATGAGAAGAGGGGATGGTCTACTCCAGGAAACAAGAAGCTGTTTCTGCTCTGTGAATCTATGCACTTCTGCTTTGCAGCTAGAGGATTTTAATCAAAAATTCAAAACTTTGGAATGGATCATAGGAGTCCAAAAAAAGCCACATCTCCTAGCTCAGTGTGATGCTGATGAAGGTTTTAGGGAATTAGCATAGCGTTGCCTTCCTGGCCCTCTGCTGGCTCCTATCTGAAGCGTGTAGAGAGATCCTACAAAGAAAATGGAAGGTTTCCCGTCTCCTCACTTTTTCCAGAGAGACCGACCTCAGTTAAGCAGCCAGAGAAAGAAGGTAAGTGGAAACGGGTAAGCAGGCAGGAAATGAAAACCATTTTTCTTTTCCGCTTGAAAAGGAGGAAGAGAGAAGATCTGATTAAGAAACAGAGATGAGTAAGAAGAACCACCACAGACGGGCGTCCTGCCTTACTTCCTGATGGCTGCCTTGAGCCCTTTCTGTGGCTTCTCGCTTCCCTTCGAGGGCCTGCTGCTGCTGCTGCTCTCAGGACTTCTCGGTGAGCGTTCAAATTCTTGCCCAGGTCTTTGGTTGAGTGGTCAGCCTGCTCTCGGATCTCAGGATTTGGGGTTGAAATCTCAGGGGATGGGGTGGTGCTGATGTGGGAACCCTACCAGTCTGACCAGCTTTATGGATCCAGGCTCTCAAGAGGAAAATATCTGCACCATCACCTCCCGACATGGGCTTTTTTAGGTCTCTCAATATGGGTCTCCTTTGACATCCACGATCTGCCATCTTTTCTTTCTTAAACTGTATACAAAAGAGTTGCAGTCTCCTTGATGAGGCATCAGGAGCGGGAGTAAGTCAGGCTTGACCTTGGTCCTGTCTTGCCCCTTTCTACCTAGATCTCTTTCACATTGTTGTGAAATTGTTGGGATTTTTGCTGTTGTTTAGTCATTAAGTTGTGTCCGGCTCTTCGTGACCCCATGGACCAGAGCACGCCAGGGCCTCCTGCCTTCCACTGCCTCCCGGAGTTGGGTATTCAACTGGTGTGTGTGTGTGTGGGGGGGGGGTTGAGAGCAATGTGTAGCCGCCATAATTAAATCATAAACTGCCCAGAAAGTGCTTTAAGTGCTAAGGGCAGGATATAAGCAGCACACTTTGCTTTGCTAATTGGCAGCAAGCTTTTCCATCCTCCTTTTTCCCCGCCTCCAGTTTCAACACATGGCAGCCAAAGGCTACCCAGGCAAGTAGCCATATGTGTCTTATGGGCTACCTGGGTCCCACCTGGGCTCTGCAGTGAAGCCTTCTGTCTCATAGGCTGGTGCTTGATGCAACCCAAAAGTTTAATTTCTTCTCTACGCTCCTTCCCTGCCTGCTGCACGAACCAGTATCTACCTGGACATTCACTTCGAAGGAGGCCACATAAAATATCCATCATTCTCTCCTGATGGATGGCAGGGGTGGCGGGGGGGGGAGAGGGAAGAGACTGAAATGGCACTAACTCATTTTGACATTTCAGTGTTGCTCCTGATGGTTAGGGCAGGTATCATCCCCTTAAGGACCCAGAGAAATCTTGTCCGTTTCTGTTACTTTGTCTTGTAGCTCAGAGTTAAGACTCCTGTGCTGGTTTTTACACAGAATTTTTTCTGGTCCTCACGGATGTGTTTTGGGGCCTTTGAAGCAACCCAACCAAATGAGGCCCCTCCACCCACCAAGAGAGGGCTGATAAATTTCTCTGCATTTGGAGCTGTCCTGTATTAATGACAAAGGAGTGTTTCAGAGTGATCATAACTGTTAAATGTGAACCATTATTTTTTCAACATATTACCTTTCCCTTCTCTCCCCATTCCTTTCCATGGTGCACTTTCTGCTTCCCTTCCTTCCCTTTTCTTAACATTCATCCCTTCCCTTTTGGGCCCTCTTCTCCCTTTTCAAGTCTCACCGACTGTTCCATTCATCTGCTAGGAAGCCCTTTTATTTATTTATTTACTGTATTTATATGCCGCCCATCTAAACATAGACAACAATCTTTGATAGGAAATGGCCTCTAGGGTACTTGCTATTCATAACAAAGTTGGCTGCAGGTGCTGAAAGTGGTACTCCAAAAAAGGAACATTTCCAAGTTGGGCTTTCTTGTCCCTGCAAGGCTTAGCCATCACTCCTTTTTTCTCTCTCCTGCAGCTACACCATCCCCGCCTTCCATCAGCGGCCCCACAGGCAGAGTGGAGTCAGGGGCCGTGGTGACCTTCAACTGCACCTCGGACGGATTCTCCCCCCGAGACATCACGCTCACCTGGATGAAGGACGGAAGGGCAATCCAACCCTCGCAGACCAAGGTCCTGCCGGAAGGCGAGAGCATCTCCTACCAGGTCTGGAGCACCGTGGACGTGCGGCTCACCAAAGACGACGTGAAGTCGCAGCTCGTCTGCCGGATCACTCACAACACCTTACCGAGCCCCCTGGAGCAGAGTTTTAGCCTTGGCGAGGTCCTAAGAGGTACAAGGCATGCCATGCGTGTTGTGGGCTGGGAAATGTTCTGGATGAAGCATGGAGAAGGATGGGAAGGAAAAGAGGAGGTGATGTGGTCCAACACTCTCAACCGCTACACCACACTGGCTTTTTTTTTTAAAAGACAGAAAACAGTCCAGTCCTGGTGAAACTCAATAACCTGGCTTTGGGTTTCCGTTCTGGGGGCGGGGGAAAAGGCCCATTATATAGTATGCAATAAATAAGTTCAGGCAACAAAGGAGGTTCAGGAAATGGCTCGTAGCCACCATATTTGAGTTGATAAGCATTTGGCTTTGATCAAAACTTGGCCATTTCACT